CTTGAAATCAATATAAAGATCTTTAGATCAGGTTTATCTATCACCTTAAAGGACACAAAATATCAGCCTTCTAAAAGGTATATTCCCAAAGAAATAAGTTTTCTTGGTTAATATGTTTACTGTGAACTTACTGCATTTCTTATGGTAAGTCAGCAGGAGAAATACTAAGCAGAAACATGATGGAGTTACTAAAATGGACACTGTTTTCAACTGTCTTACAGGATTAGAAAACCAGCATAGGAACGTCTGATTTGTTTCTATTAGAACAGTCCTCTACTCGTTGCTGGTTCAAACAACTGTATTTTCTATGGAACTGCAAATTTAAGATATATGTGTCATTGTTTCATACATCTATTTTTTTTTTAATTCTCTGTATTTAATATGTCTTTTACATTTAATAGCCTCTAATACCTACTTTTACATACTTTTAAATAGTACACTGTTTGCATAGGACATGTAAAAATACATGTATAAAAGACATACAGTTCTTCAGCTTCTATGTGGCTGGAAAACTGTTCATTAAAATCAGCATTTCACAGGAAACCAAACAGTATCAGTCATTCTTTATGCTGATCTATATAAATAATTTTAGCAGTGATTTGATTTCCACTCTATCACAACTTGACAAAAAAACCCCATCACTGTAAAAAATGTAAAATTGCAACGTTTAATTAAACATGTAATCTTGCAATGTTTAAATAAAATACAAACCATTCAGCCAACTTCCTAACACAGAGAACGGCAACACTTTCAGATAAAGTCACATTTAAAAGAAATACACTGTTTTGTTACTTCAAAGTAGATAATGTGGATGGTTTGTACATGTGGATGGTTTGCAAGAAAATGCTACTGTTGAATCCCCCATATTTTCCCAGAAACAGAAAAAATCTTTAGAGTTAAATGAAGATTTTGTGGAAATCAGTGGCAAAACTTCAGTTAGGTTTAGGATTTCAGGATCAGCCCCCAGCTGTTTCAGCTTTATAACCTTTGTCACTAAAAGCAGATGCTACTGCATTTTTTCAATAAGTAGTGTAAATATGAGAGCATATTAGTTTTCTTTTATTTCAATTATGTCACAACAACATTCAAGACAACACTCCCTGTAAAAAGTGTTGAGTGTCATACCAAAAAAACACAACAAAATAAATGAAAAGATGGTTTACAGCCACAGTGAAACCATTTAATAAGATGGATTAACCCCATTTTATTTTTGAGCCCTTCAAACAATGAACAGTCTTGTAAGATATAATTGCCACTGGATGACATAACTACAAAAAAGGATAACATACTTTGGACTGTCTGACAGGTTTGGAAGATTATCTTTCCTAATGTAAACCTCTGGTCAAATCTCAGCAACAGTAAATCTAATAAACTTTACTAAGACCTTTAACTCTTCCTTGTGCCTTTGTTTGCCTTTAAAATACCTTTTTAACATTTCCATGTATTTCTTCAAAATATATTGTTAATTTTACAATCCCTGGGTAACTCCCAGGGATTTATTTGTTTTTAATTTAGGATCACACATACTAACTGATATCCCCACCTCAAACTGTTAGAGAACAACATGCAGTTTTGAGTGAACAGAAGTAGCACAGACAGCCCAGCAAACTAAGTAAATAACCTGCTCTTGAAACAGTACTGAAACAATGTGCAGATCTGAATATTAATTGAAACTTCTCTGAATTGTCTCAGCAATTCACACAGGGCTGAGAATATTTTTACCACAATCCACACTGAAGTGAGAAATTCTGCAAAACCTGCCTCATCAAGAGTTAATTAACATTAGCATTCAATGTGTCCATTTGCAGTTAAAACTGATTATACTACCAGAGACTATTATAAAAACATTAGCTATAAAGCTGTTTGCACAGACAATATACACAGACACTAACAGGGCAGATTTTTATGTCCATGTAGTGATGAATCTGTAACACTCCAAGGAAGGAAATATGTTTTAATTACCCTTACCTTGCCTTCTGCACCTCCAGCTGGCTTGTCCACCTCCTCCTCCTGTGTTTTCTGCTTTCCACAAAAAGAACTAAACACAAGATTAACAAAAGGAGTTTTGCAAAACAAGGCATCTTGCTGCGAACAGGAGCTGGGCACGCTGCACTCCAGTGACCTCCTGCAGTACAAGTGCCCCAGGCTTTCAACATTGAATCAGATTTGATTCCGGCGCCGTGTGTTCATCAGCGATCGGTGGCAGAAACACTGCTTCCCCACTGTGATGTTTTCCACAGGCTTTCAGAGGCTCCTTGCTCCAAGCTCTCCCCTCATGACTGCTTAATGATTGGCCATTACTCATGAAGTTTGCCTCACCAAACATTTCCACTGGGTCCTAGAGGATATTTCCTAAAGCCATTATATAAAACGCCACAATTCTGCACGCCGGCTTTTTGCTCAATCCCCTAATCTCAGGACAGTGCTTTCCTTCTGCCAGACTGTAAAACCAGGCTGAACCTTTTCATTCGGCTTTCCAGATTTTCTGTTCCCCCTCAGGGCATCTATTTCAGCTGGAAACTGCCTGTGCTACTTTTCAGATATGTGTATTATCATAAAATGTATATATTTTGATGGGTTTATAGCACTTGAGATTTTATGTTCCAATTTAAGTCTGGCTCCTTATGCTGTTGAAGATAAAAAATGAGAGATTTCCTCTGAAAAATATGATTTTATTTACTGTTAAATTTTAAAGGAAAATTAAAACACAGTAACCCCCAAAGTATCATTAAATACAACAGACTCCAAGCAAGTCACTATCAATATTTATTTTTTCAAATAGGTATTTGCACAACCAGGGAATTTAACTTTTGTAAGTTTGAAATAAAAATGAAAAGCTACAAAGCAGCCATTCTTCCATCACAAGGAAGAGGCTGTTTTTAGAAAAAACTCCAAGCTTGTCTTCTCACAACCCCTTCAAAGGGCAACATACACTGCCCTTGTGCAGCAGACTTGGCTACTTTGATAATGACCAGGGTGTGGTAAAGGTACAAGAGTGAGTTTGCTTGGCACAGCAGGGAGGCTCTAGAAAAAGAAAACCCTGTTCAGAGCAAAGATTCCAGAGGAGCAGATGGGTCAAAACCCAGCAAAAGTGCCTTTTGGGTCAGACTTCTTCTAGAAATCTCTTCTGTTGAGCCCAGGTCTGCAACACTTGAATATAAGTATTCCAGCAACACATCAACTAGGAAACACAGTGCTTTTCTTTTAGAGGCTACAGGATTTAGAGAGGGTTTTTGGTTGGTTGGTTTTGGTGTGGGTTTCTGAGGTTTTGTGGTTTGTTTTTATTAAAACTTCTAATGGAATAAATATATGAATTAAGCAAAAACACATCAATTAATATACTGACATCAAACTGTTCTGCAGCAGAACATGCAAGGATCTGCTGACCTGGCTGAAGAAACCACATGCTTTTGTCCAAACTTGAGAACTATTTTTTGGCCTTTCTTCCACTGTGCCTGCAAACAACATATTCAACAACCCATAAGTGCTAAAAAAGAACTCCGTCTGGGTTTTTTTTTTCAAATTTCCACATCCCCCTCAGACACTCAGTTGGCTTTCCTAATTTTAGAAGCTATTCTAGTGTTTCAAAACACAAATGCATTCTTTATTTAACAAAATTTAGGAAAGCTGTAGGTAGCTTGATAAATACTTGCTGAGAAACAGGATGAGAGTTTCACTTAAGTCAGTGCTACCACATCTGACAGCACAGAATAAAGTTAGATAAATTTGAAATAAATGTGCTAGAATAATTTAAATCTGAATAATAACACAAGAGAAAAATTATTCAACTGATTGCTCTTTTCTACTTCACTGTAATGCTTAAACACCCAAGATAAAATCTCTCAAAATCCTAACAATTGTAGGTCTATTGCTTGCATATGTGATTTCACAGCATTCATTAATGACCAACTATATATTTTTAAAATAAACTAATAATGCAGAAAACCTCTGGGTCGAGCATTGATTTTAGGTTCTAAAAAACTGGAAACAAAACCCAAAACCCAACAAATAAAAGGCCATGTTAAACTTGAAACATAACCTAAGACTAGCTTGAAATTCTTTATTACTGCCAAGGTTTTAATAAATATTTCTCTTAAGCATGTTCATATATATAAGAGTTTAAGTATAATAAGGTTTACATTTTCTTTAGTAAATAAAACCACTTATGAAACATTCATTTTAACACATTATGTGTATTTCTGGTATAATTAAAAGACAATAGCTCTGGGTAAATAATTATATTACATATTTATAACTATTGCAAGAATAGACATGTTTTATATAACCTTCAAATTAAAAAAACAACAAAAACACAAACAAAAACAAGATACACAATTGAAAGTATGAGAAGATGACATTCAAATCTTGCAAAAGATTATCCAATCTTTCTTCCAAAAAAATAAAAGTAAAAATAATGTGACTACTTTTCTGGCCCCTTCTTTCATCCCCTACTCCTTTCCTCCTATCACACACACAAAGCAGCATCACAACCAGTTTGTATGTGTTCCCCCTCTAGAAATGTGTCATGGTAAATAAAAGTGGTTATAAAACTGTATCACTTCTGAATGAACAGTTCACTGGACACAAACACATAGTAGTGTTTCATTTGACAACTCCTTCTCCATTTTCAAATACTATACTAACTTAAATTGGGCAAGTAATTGCATTTACGTTCCATAAAAAAGTGAATCAACCACTTTTTAAAAATTGTCTTTTTCTAGTTGACAAATTACTCAAATGGCCTCCCCTCCTCCATGCCTGAATGCTACCTTTCCACTGCACTGTTTTTCCAAGTGTCTAGAGGGCACTCAACTAACACTTGGTGCAGTTAAATGTCCAACTCTGCTCTTCTTAAAGTAACGTCACTGTAGGTACATTAACATTCATAAGGATTTAAGTGTAAATACAAAAAGTAACCTTTGTAAACAGTTCTCATGTCATACCCAACACAGAATGTTCAACGAAGCATTCCAGTCACTGCTGTTAAGACAGAAACAACTTTATAACTCAAATATATACTCATTAGCCAAACATATTCTACGAAATATAAGAGCTGCCAATGCAAAAGTCAGCAGGACAATCAGAAGAGTTGATCCAGTGTGGTTCATGTTGACTCTTGGCTGCTGTACCCGATTAAAGTCATTTGAAGTGGGAGCCCGTCTCTGGCTCTGCTGCTGGGCACGGCGCTGCCGAGGGCTCATGGAGCTGCTGGTGGGCGCAGGTGGGGCGTGCTCCTGGCTGCCTGCTGCACTGCTCAGCTGAGCTTCTGACTGCAAATGAAACACAGAGGGAGCTGTGAGACAAGACAGGGCAGAAGAATGGCAAGGAATCAAATCACTAGGACTAAAATGTAGTCTTCAGATACTGACTAATACTTGAAAGCCTGATGTCACTGGTAATGACGAGATTGTTACAGCTGTGTTTGTCCATACACTGCAAGTCTTTCAAGCTGTGAATTAGCAGTTCTAAGGACAAGAAAAGTCTGAAGGAAGTCTGTCAAACAAAATCTGAATTCTAGATTGGTTCCAAATCCAGATATTTCAAGTATCTTTGTCTAGCATTTGCTTAACTCTTTACAGTCCAATAAACCCTTAATAATCCCCCAGATAGTTAAGTCTCTGAGGATTTGTAACATCACCTATACTGAAAGAGAAACCAGCTGGGGACAGCAAGAACGGAAGAAGTCCAATTAATTGTAACTGAGTAATGCTGCCCTGCCTCCTGTGGACAGCTGGGTCCAAAGGTCTGTTCTCATCACCACCACAAAAAAACCCGGACCCTGAACACAAAATACCCAAGTGATTCCAGTTAAAATTCTTGAGCATTGTACCTCCGCATACATATACCTATTGCCCTCTACTGGTCAAACGCCAGTCTACCATTACAGCAATAAAAAAATAAATGGTGGCAACTTATGTTCAGCTCAGGAGAGTATTATCCAAAAGAAAATATTTTTTCATGTTAAGATTGAAACTACAGGTTCTGATATTCCACTGGCCTAAGCCTGCTTGCAATGTTGCTCAAACGTCCAACATTTTAACATTAAAAATAGTGACACAGGAGTTGTTGGAAAGAAATATTTTGACCAGGTTAAAGTTGCTGGTTGTTGTTTTTTTTTAAAAAAAAAAGTAGCTCTGACAAAAAGTTATTATATGAAGTCTTCTTTTCACTTCTCAGATATTTTTTCCTCACTTCTCCAGTTTGCAAATATTCCCACTTAAAGCAACCTGCATTTTCCAGAGTCAACATATCCACCGTTCCATTCTTCTGAGAGACTGATGATCATTACAGCAGGTAAAACTATCATTCTGGACATTTTATATTTGTTTCCAAGTAAAATCCTTTCAATGGGCATAATATCCATAACCCTAGGCACTGTTTTGGTCAGCTACTATGTACTGATAGTACATACAAGAAGTACTAATGTAATTGCTCACTGCATTTGACAACTTGCTTGTTTACACAGGTTTCCTGCCTAAGCAAGCAATCAGCTTGGGTAGCTCCAAAGAAAAATGTTTTTAAAAGATTTATTTTATCAGCAGAAACAGCCAAGAACAGCACGAGCCGCTTGCCATGACTTCCACTACACTGCAGAAGAAAGTCATTTGGCTTCATACTGAACCTACCTGAAAGCTCCTCATGCCAAGGAAAATAAGACTTGGGGAAAGCTAAGCCTTTGAAAATGAAGTTCCTAGATTCATTTACACTCATTTACATCTTTCAGAAGGGGAGAGGGAGAGAAGTGAATTCAGGAAGCAAGAACTGCAAATTCAGCAGGCAAAGTGTTATTCTTCTTAAAGTAACTATTAAAAAGGAATTTAAAAAAGTCTAGAAATATTCCTGATCCTTCATACTTACTAACCAAAGTAACTAGCACTGGCTGTCACACTTCTGGCTTTCTTCCTAACACTGAAAATTTGTAAAAATAAAACAGAAAGACCCTGTTCTGAATAAGACAAGGTGCCATAGACTGATGTGAAAGGAGCTGTAACTCAAGAGAAAACTCACTGACAATTGCCAGGCTTTAACTTTTTTTTTTTTTTTTTTTTTTTGAGGAAATTATATAGATGCATCAGGGCAGGAGAAGCTTGAGCACTTCAGCCAAAGCTGAGCTAATCCACTGCCTTGGGATTCCCCACATAATCAATGGCTGAGAATTAGCAGGCATGCAGAAGCAAGCTAGATTAGAAAGGAGTGATAATTACCTGATATAAGTCTGGGACCAGATGCTACTGTATGTATATTATGTATACTATATATGTATGTATATTATATATACATCTACATGAACTTTTTTTGGTTAGAAGACTTAATAATTAAGAATCCTAAAAATAGTAGATAGGCCGCATTATACACTTCTTAAACATCACAACCTTCTTGTCTTCACTTATGGTAAGTTTTTTAATTCTCCTTAAGCAAAAATGTCAACATTTTTACATTAACACAACATCTCACATGATAAAATTTCCATCCACGTTTAAGTAATTTTCTGCCAAGCCACACTGGAAATGTAGGGATGAGGGCTTAAATAGGCTAAAAGTTAAAGCATTTAATAAGAGCTACACTGTAGTCACCTTTAGCACCTGATCTTTACTGTCACTGTAGATGCACTTTATGTGTCATATAATTTCTGAAGCTTCTGAAACCGTTAGGACTGGTGGAAATGCTTCAAGGATATCCAAGTTTCATAGATAAGGCTAATTTAGTAAAAGGTACATATATTAGAATTAACAAAAAGTTCCATAGAGTAACAAAATGCAAGCAATGAAACCTACACTATGCTCAGTCTACTGAAGGATGGCAGCATTTGCTGTATCCCTCATATCTCCAGGCCATTATTTTAAAAAATTTATCACAATGCTGGAAGTATGAAATAATCAGCTTGGAAGGGATGTTTTAAAAGCATACGAAACTCTAGGAACTCAGAACATATAAATCCTTTGGGTTACTTATGTCTTTTTCAGTTATACTCCTGATCTCAGCAAGATACAGAAATAATAAGTTATAAGGACAGGTGAAATACCTTGTCCATACAACTTCCAATTGAAGAACAGCTGGCTTAAAGGCTAATAAGAAAAATGTCTATTTGAAGGTGGGCCAAGTACTCCTGGTTGCCAAGACATTTAAAATTGTTGCTGTAGTATCACGAAGCTGAAGACACCACTTAACAGTGATAAAAGGAAACACTTTTTAATGATATATCATTCAGAACATAAGAATAAAAATAAGGGCCCAGACTACAGGGCTAGGCACATTAAGTCCACTATACTAAAAGGAATTACTATGCAAGCTAATACAAGGATTCAGCATTGGGTCGACCTCTGCCTTTTTTATTCTCAAAGGGTATAAATTTCAAGTTCACAACAGCAATTTTTCTACAATAGCTTTTAATTAAGCACACATCTGTTGAGGAAGTGGTAAACATTTTATCCAAGAATAGAAAGATGTTTTTTGTTTTAAAGTTGCTCACATCTAATACTTAGATTAGTGGAGTAGAATTAGGTCGTTCTACAGCAAGAACTAGGCCAAGAAACTGATTTTACACATGTAAGAAGCCCAGCTGAGTAGAAAGGGTCTGAAGTTCACACAGATACTCTTTCATGCCTACTAGCAGATCAAGGCCTCTGGCCTCCTACTTTGAAGTCTTCTATTAAGTTTTGCTTGAATAAGAACACAAAAATAGCAAGCTCAAACTCATTCCAATAGTCTTTCCTGTTACACATTTTTTAATTTCACTGTGTGGCTGTAAGTTTTTACTCCCCAGTGCCTCCAGAAATTCCTAGCACTCAAAATGTGGCAGCTCAGAAACACAGATATTGCTTCAAACTCAAATAAACAATCATGAGTGTGACAGTCTGATCCCTTAAAACATGAATCCACTTTTCATCAATAACTGTTTATAACACACAAATATTTGTACGTACACTTGTATGTTTAAACATCTCACTTCACATGGGACTGTTCTGCAGAAAATTACTCGTTACTTACTAAATCAGCAGAATTGATGAAAACAAATTTGTTAGAAATGGGATTTTAAAAAAAAAATCAAGTCTCTTTTTCCTCAAGGAAATGATAGCAATGCTATGGTATTTTGCCTACTTCTACTATATTAGCCAGGATTTGTAATAAGAATAATAAAACGGTTTATTAAATCCTGAACAATCTGGAAAAATCCTTATTGTGGGGAAAAAGTATGTTATTAGCATGTTTATATTTCTACATAGCTGGAAAATATGTTGGAAACACATAACAGATGGTCTGACGTTACTTGACGTGTTTTAGGTTTTTTAAATGATCTGCAGCCCCATCCTCTCTAAAAAAGACAGCTTAGCTGGGATTTGCCTGCAATTTATCAGTGACTTTGTACTGCATTTGCCACAGTCACAACAGCAGCTGCCTTGGCCCACCACCAGGCCTCAGTCACTTCCAAAACCATTATGTAAGCCCTACACCTTGCAGTATTAAAACATAAGAATCATACTTCAAGTGGTAAGAATATTTTAAGTCAGATTTACTCAAGAGGTTATAAAAACCAGGAACATATCCTTAATTAATATTTAAAAGCTACAAATTATCACTGAAACATCTTCTGCCTCTGACCAAGAATTCTATTGCAAAAAGCTGTGATATATTAAGCAGATGGTAAACTGTAGTACTTCAGACACCATGATATTTTAATGAACCGATAAGACATACATTAAAGGAACTACTGTGAATGAGAACTGTTAAAAGAAGATTGCTTTCACTTCCTTCTCTTGAAAGCGGTAAATAAAGACACTGCTATTTCTAAAAGTGATGCAGTGTTCTTGTTCAAGTTTAGAAATTGTATATAAAAGCGGGCAGAAGTTCTAGAAGAAATGTATTATGAACTACATACTCGTGAGGAAGCCTCCCACCAGCTTCACAGCACTGATTTCATGCTCAGACCACACCTGTACTGGCACTGATAAAGCTCAAAGACCAACCGTACCGCTGGCCTCGCGGGATCCTGGAAGGCTGTTGCAGCGCCGTCCTGCTGGGGCTCACGGGTAGCAGCAGAGGGGCCCAATCCTGACGAGTTTGAGGGTCCAGCATCAGACTTGCTGGATGAATTGACTTCTGCCTACAAGGAGTAATGTATATGCTTCAGAGACACAAATAAAAAATCACTCCAAAAAGATTTGGCTTATTTTGGAATGTATGTTTTAACAAATGGAGATTATGAGACTTCCTGAAATGCAATGATCAAGGACACCAACTGCATTTCAGCTCCACACCAAGAGGTTAAAGAAACTCTCATTCTCTGGAGATAAGACTGTAGATGTGCAAACATCAGTTTAAAACAACAATTCTGTTTGCACAGGTACAACATTCAAAAAACGCATAGATGTAGAGAGCAAAATAGAAAACTCTTTAGAAGATCGAAGACATTACGCCAGAAATGAAAGCATTTTTGAAACTTCTGCTTCTCACGTCCTTAACCGAATGCTGACTACTGCTGTTACAAGTCATCTAATACAGCCTGCTTCTCAGCAAGGCTAACTGTCCTCCAGTAAGTGCTAATTTAACAAGGCTATACTGGTTCTAGTACCAAAGTTTCTTCACAGCCAGAGCGGGCACACGTGCCTGGCACTACACTGTGAACGGCACACATACCTCGCTTTCCAGCACTTATATTTTAGCATAGGCAGAGCAAAAGAAAAAATACAAGTCTTATAATACTGCCTTTGTATGCGTTTTTACAACATCTAGTAATAATCAAATTCCCAGAATTTAGGTTTCATGCTTTTGGAACTTGGAGACAAGAGAGCAGGAGTGATCTGTAGAATATCAGAAACAAACCTCTTGTTAAAATAGTATATGCCTGCAATAATCCCTTGGGATTGGCAAAGGACATTGCATCATAGTCCTGAACTGAAACACTTGAAAATTTATACATATTTTTTATCAGCAAGCAAGTCACCTCCCAAGTCATGTATCTAGATTTCAATATATTATACAGATGACAATTCCAAGACTGATACCTGTCTTCAAATGCAGATATAAATAGTGGTGGCAGCAGCAAGAAATACAGTGTATTAGAAACCAACCAGCTGCGGTGATAACAAGCAGATTAAGATCACAAGAAAATAATATTCTTTCATGGTACTATTTTGTGTGATGAAGTGATATTCCCTGTTTCTTGATGTGTATTATCTCAGAAGAATAAAAAAAATAAGTCACTTAACCTGAAGATTAATTTAAGATTTAAAAATACCTACAGTCCAACAACACTGCTTTCCTTTTGCACTTGACAATTAGAAACTCTAATATTAGATAGAACAATTATGACTCAAATATGAAGCAGCAACAAAACAACACAGGATTATACATAATTTAGGCTGGAATAACCCCTAGATGTCAACTGGTCTGACTCCCTCCTCAAAGCAGAGTCATGTTCAGTCAAGTTTTGAGCATCTCCAAAGCGGGGGATTCCAAAGCCCTTCTGGGCAGGCTGCTCCAGCATTTAATAACTCACATCCTCTCCCACATCCATTTTTAAGTTCCTTCCCTGGAACCTGCAACCACTGCTTTTCACAATTCTGCATTTTCCAAGAAGAGCTCGTTTTATCTTTACTGTTAATCTTTACAAAGCACATACACTACAAAAAGTGTATTTGATGCATCTTAGTTCACGAAAGTACTAAGTTCAGTATGTTAGACTGAAGTCAGACTAACATTCAAAAAAACAAAACAATTGAAAGTTCCCAAACCCAAAATTTTTCACCTACTCTCTCCTTCCTCCGGCCCTTACCTCTGCTTCCAGAAAAGCTGGAGATAACACAGACATCAAGGAAAGAAGATCAACATATTTAAATGTAATGAGGGTGAGTGGAGAATTAATTTTACTGCAAAACAACATGCCTTGTGATCACCACATGTACATAAACCGTATTTTTTTACAGTAATGCATATGCTATTAGTCATATATCTTTTCTTCTTTTCTTTAAAGAGGAATGGAGTTTATGGAATATAGCACCTAAAAATGCACAAAACAATTTGCAAGTCAATCTAAAGGTGATTAAAAAAATGTAATTTTCTGTTAAAACAGGAAAAGGTGGAGGCTCACAGAAGCAGGGAAACTGTAAAGAGGAAATGTTGGTTTTTCTCCTGAATTTCATACTCCTTTCACACTCCCACACACATGGGTTTTTTTAAGTTACCATTTTGCTTAAGGCTGCTATGAAATAATTTCTCATAATCTCAGAATCATTGAGAAAAAATGAGAAAAATCTCTTTTTTAATGATCAAGATAATGCAGAAATTGCTAGTATGCTTGCTAGTAGAGTGGCTCTCTCAAATCATACACTGAGGTGCTGGAGTGTGTCCAAAGGAGAGCTACCAAGCTGGTGAAGGGTCTACAGAACAAGGCACACGAGGAGCAGCTGAGGGAACTGGGGGTGTCTAGTTTGGAGAAGGGGAGGTCGAAGGGGAGACCTCACTGCCCTCTAAAACTACCTGAAAGGAGGTTGTAGTGAGATGGGTCCTGGCTGTGTGCTTGTTCTTAGGAGGTGGAGTTAAGTATGTGGATACAGAGAACACACAAATACTCTTTAGATCTCTTTAGAGATTGATGCCACTCAGTCTTTCATTTTAAAACTGACAAATGGTATGAAATGTAAGAAATTACTCTTAAAATTTTAAAACTGACAAATGGTATGAAATGTAAGTTAAGAAATTACTCTTAAATATATATATATGCACACTCTGATATTTTCAGAACTTATCTTGATGAAGATCAGCAGTCCTTAAGTAAAAATTAATGCTATACTTACCCAAGTAGTTTTGCTTCAAAACTCTGTTCCTGTATCTCCCCTTCTTTGTAAGATATTTTGAGATCAGAGTGCTAAGCTAATGGTTGGACTTGATGATTTTAAAGGTCTTTTCCAACCAAAACGACTCTATGATTTTATGATTCTATAACATGTTTTTATCATAAGTCTTATTACACACAGACCCAACCATGTCAACATGTCTAGATGTGAGATCACACAGGAATAGGCAGGTCCTGCAAAATGGGCAGTAATGCTCACTAGGAGGCAATTTACGCTCACGGCACACACATACACAGAGGGAAAAAAGTAGCCTTTAGGACAGTGTTAGGAGAACACTGATTATAAAGAGAGACATATTAGCATCTGTGACCTTAGTGAGGATGTATTCTGCACCAATGCCCACAGTGTCATTGTTCACTGTAGTTCCCTGCCCTCATGCAGAGCAGTCTTCCTTAGTGGCTTAAGAGTTTAGTGGAAAAATCACTGGAAAACAACACTGTGCATGCAAGACATGCAATTTTCTAAGGCACATATTTAGCTAAACAAACCTTACTTTCACTGAAACACAAGCTACAAAACACATTTTTGGGTAACAGCAACTTCCATACCAGAGTTCAACTTTCAGTATCTTCAGCTGCAGAGTAGTTCAAAAGAATTTGCAACCATTTTTCAGTAGGAATATGTTTTATTCCTTCCATAAACCCAAAAGAGGAGGGGAAAAAAAAAAAAAAGTCACAAATAAAAATAAATCCAGGTTAACTCTGCCCAAATGTTCCTAACACTTTAATGAGAAGGCCAATTCTGTAGAATTTAATCAAGTTAGTAGTGACTGAAAACATTAAGTAAAAGCAAAATAGTAAGGCAGCTCTTACAACAGTGCTCACCACTGAAATTAAAACTAATCAATCAGTGCTTGAGAGGCACAATTTATTAATTGGCACATTGCAAGAGATCCACTCCTATTTTTCTCTTTCATATCCTAAAAAAACACGTTTCCATGTAGTGATTGGTGAAGGTTTATAAAATGATGAATGTTTCTGCAATTTACAAGTTTTTCCTCAATAATGTATTTTTTTAATTCTATACAATAGAAATAAAAGTTTAAACAATGACTTTACCTTGAAGCTAATTTGTCTGGCAAGCTCTTTAGCCTCCTTGTCTGCCTGGCTTGACACGCTTCCAGATGTTAGTGGTAGGAGGGCTGTCTTCATAGATGTGCCACACATTTCACAACAGAAGTCTTGTGACCTGGCCACAAATGACATAACTCAAAATAGCATGTTCTCAGAATGTTTTTCTGTGCTTGTTTAAATAGCCCATTTGCAATACAATCCACAGAAAGATAAATGGTGTCAAGACTAGTAAAAGTACTTTCCCCTACACCAAATTACACGATCTTGAAAAAATATGTTGAGAGTTATCTATGCTACAAATATTCATGTAATTTAGGAAAACATTATCAACGGACTTACACATTGGTGTTAGCTGTACTTTAGTAAAAAATTGTTACCATTGTAAAATGTACTTTATATCTGCATTAAATTAAAATAGTAAACTATAAAGATCTAGCTGTTATTACAAGTATTAAATTGGACCCCAGAGCTTGCTCCTGAAATCCAGGAATTTCAGCTTCTGCAAGAGCATTACCTTTCCTCTCCCACACACATAACTTGTCTACAGGGCACCCTGCAGGCAGCTATCCAAGCCAATGAGAAATCACAAAGCCTTGACAATCAGTATCAAGACCAACCCACTAAACCCTGTCTCTCAGCATGGTTTATTAGCTTTGACTTAGTGCCATGCTAACAGGAAAGCTGCAGCTTCCAGCTGGCTCAGAGTAAAAGCAGAATAAGCTCACATCTGCCTAAAAAATAAGGTACTAGTTACAATCTGGAATACAGTAACTTTGCTTATAAGATAGAGATACAGTCTTTTAAGTACCTTCTCCCCAGATGGGGAAAGCAGAAAGACCATAAAACTCATTCCATCATACCCACAGGTAGATTTCATTCAAGGATAATCACAGAATATTTGAGGTTGGGAGGGACCTCTAGAGATCACTTAGTCCAGTTTCCTTGCTTAACGCAGGGTCAAGCACAGCATGTTGTTTGGGTTTGTTCCCAGTAACATTTTTAATACCTCCAAGAAGCAGAGACTTCACCACCACTCTGGACAACCTGTGCTAGTGCTTTTACCCATCTTCACAGTAAAAAAGTGGTTTGTTGCATTCCAGATTTAATGTTGTGGGTTTCAATTTGTGCCCTTTGCTCCTTGTCCTGCCATTGGAGGTCACTGTAAAGAGCCTGGCTCTTTACATCTTCCTTTCAGATATTTGTATACATGGATAAGAACCCTTGAGCCATCTCTTCTTCAAGCTGAACACTCCCAGATCTCTTAGTCTCTCCTCCTATGAAACATGTTCCAGCCCCTCCATCATCTCTGTGGCACTGCACACTGGATTTGCTCCAGAAAGCCCATATTTTTTTTGTATCCTGACCTGGACACAGCCCTGACCAAGGACCCAGCACTCCAGATATCTCACCAGTGCTGAGTACAGAGGAAAGATCACTTCCCTCAACCTGCTGGCAATGCTCTGCCTAAGTCAGCCCAGGACAGCATTAGTCTTCTTTGTTCCAAGGACACACTGCTGCCTCATGATTTGCTTGGTGTCCACCAGGACACCCAGGTCCTCCCATTCCAAGCTCCTTTCCAGCAGGTTGACTGGCATTATTCATCTCCAGAGGCAGGACTTTTCCCTTTGTTGAATTTAATGAGATTCCTCCAGCCTGCTGAGGTTCCTCTGGATGGCAGCATAACCTTCTGGTGTACCAGCCACTCCTCCCAGTTTTTTATCATCTGAAAACTTGCTGAGGGTGCACTCTGTCCCATCATCAGTGTGATTAATGACACTGAATAGCATTGGCCCCAGTATTGACCCCTGGAGTACACCTGCAGTGACATGGCTGCAGCTGAAATCACTGCTGCTTGCCACAATCCTTTGAGCCAGGCAGCTCAGCCTGTTCTTAATCCACCTTACTGTCCCCACTTACCTAGGCTGTACTTCATGAGTTCCTCCATGGGGATGGTATTAAGACAGCACCAAAAGCCTGGCTAAAGTCAAGATAAATAAACATCCACTACTTTCCCCTTGACCACTAAGCTAATAATTTCATCAAAGTCACAAACCTATTTTTAAGTTAATTTCATAAAAATCATTCAGCAGCAGTTGCTTCAGATTTTTTGTCCTTGTTTCATTGTTATTATTTACTCAAAGGAAATGATGCATCATTGTTTTGGCTGTTTTCTCCCCCACTTACACTTACTATCAATTCCATCATACTTCTTTTCCCTCCACACTGCAATCACCAGTGTTTCACAAATCTTTAAGCCTGAATTTCAGATGAACCTCAAATTTGACCACATAATGCTGGAAGGAACACAGCTCTCAAGAAGTATTTTGCTGGACCAAAGTTCTGAGTTTGCACAATATTGAGGAAAAAAAATTAAACACAAGGCACAGAAGTTTTTTTATATTTGGAGAAAATGCAAGAGAACAAAATGAAGTGACTTAATTTCTACCCAATGCTTTTAAGATTAAAAGAGACTACATACATTACCTACAGTAATAAACAATGCTTACTTCTTTGCAAGAGCTCTTCTTTCTTCTGGTGTATAATCCAGAGATCCTATTGCTCCTTCACCTTTGGTTGGCATAAATCCAATAATGGCTAGTAAAGCTGTTCTTACTAAAATGGGAAAACAGAGATATAAAAAAGGTTGTTATTTCATCTCACTCTACAAAGTACAGAAGGTGCAGTTCTGCCTGAAAATCTTCACTTTGTCCAAAGGAGTGCTCTGAATTTCATGTTTTTGTGGTACACAGCAATGCCTTCTTCATTTTTTTAAACTTTACATTGTACATGAAAGGTAAAGCCTTGTTCTTCCATCAGCCAACATAGATAAGTTGTCACAAAAATGGTGCATCAATATAAAGGTTAAAGCTCTACACTTTAAAAAGGGGTTCTGAAGAAGAAAAAAGGTAAGGCAGAATTAACACATAAATGGGGGGGGGGGAAGGAAGGAGAGGATCCATAAGACATTCTCCTTTTTGTGTTGTTTTCTATTAGACACACATTCTGCAATTTAGTGCACTCAAGCTCAGTGGTTTTATGTCGTCTACCATAGTAACAGCTCACATCACAATTGTCATCTAAAACATTTCTTTCGACAATATCTATCTTTCAGTTTTGTCTTACACAGTCACAAAATTTAAGAATTCAAGAGACTCTGCTAGTAGATTTGGTAAATAAATGTCATATCAAGAAAAGTGCCTCAAAACAGAGATAGCATATTTATACCTCCTACCAAGAAGATAGTATTTTCTACTCTTTAAAAAAACATGAGACTTTATAGAAGTTGAAGAGTGGTCTACTAGAAAATCCCCAAGATCTTATAATAATATTTTAAAAGTACAACTGATATCCAAAGAAATAATTAACTTACCATACGCAGCAAAACTAAAATTATATAAACACAGAAATATTGCCTTGGATGAACTGTGCCAAGTCTCAATTCCTATGATAATGGAACTTAAAAACAAGGTAGAAAACATTCAGCTATTTTCAGCTCAGACCACATCTTTTCTCGCGAGTTTTAAGAAGTACAGTATCAGAATTAAAAGCTGAGCATGCTCCCCTCCATCAGTATTCAAGCTGGTTTTAGCCATTAGGTAATAGGATTTTAAGTGTTTTCATAAGAACAATTAAAAATATATATATTCTAAGTAGTCTGATAGTTCTTAATGTTTGTGCATCCAAATAAAGAAGAGCTTACCATCCCCCCCGGCTTCTCAATCCTTTCACCCCACATTTAATTCAATACCATTCCCAAATCCTCCTATGTTGCTCTTTCATGACTTAACATTTCTTAAATTCTCCCATACTTTCACTCCCTCAAGATCTGCCTCCTTTTCCACTATAAGCAGTCTTAATGAAAATTTTTTTCAGGTTAAAGATCTAGTTGTTGGATGAGGGTAACATTTTCTAAATAATTGTTACTTACTACTCCATGAAGGCTGCCATGTTTCAGGATGATGTCCTGAGATGCTTAAGCAGATTTTCTTTCCCACTTCAAACCTGCCATTGGCCTTGAAAGGAAGAAGGAGGGTATGGTAAAACATGCTGGAATCTAACTCTTTTTTTTTGGTACAAGCTGTAAAAATCATCATCAAACAAATCTATGTGCAAACAATACTTGATAATTATATTACTGCCAACTTCACTAAATTGGCATTCAGCTTTTTGAACAAAGTCTGCTATCTGCTTTTATTCATGCATGAAGAAACCTGTAACTGAAACCTGGCATGTCCCAGTGAGACATGGTGGCTTGTCTGTTGCTCCTGTAACCCATACACCAGATGCAGAGAGCCTGAAAAGCTATAGCTCTATGTGACTGTGTAAATGTGAGCCTTTGCCCTAACCCCAAGGTCTCCTTCCTACATGGGACCAATGTCTCCAACAGAGACCAAGAGGGTCCAGAGAGGGAAGATTAGACAATCACATCAGCAATTTGATTAGTCCTGGAGCAACTTCCATTTATACAGATGCAAGGCTTCATGTAATTTAAGAACACTAAAGTCACCACAGAAGACTTCTGGACTTAAACTAGCAGCATTAACTTTAGTACATCATCTTTCTTACAAAAATAACCCTACCTTAAATGCCAAGAGCCTCTCTCTCTCAGACACTTGTGGTTTAACTGAACACACAGGAAGGAAAAACTGGTAAACATACTTACTGTTAGCAAAATAATGCTAGGTGGCTTCATGGGATATTCAGGTGGTAGAACTATTCGCCCATGATAAATCCCTCCATCAAAATCTGAATCTGGAGGGCCTCTAACAGTGAAGTGCCATTCAAAAAGATTATCCTAAAATGCCCCCACCAAAGGGAGAAGGAAAAAAAGAGCATGTCACAGAAGTAGATAACTCAACACCATTTTCTTCAACAAGGACAGGCTGAAGAACCAGTGCACAGCAGAAGTTTTAAGAAGTCAAAATTAAATTGAGAATAAGACAATCAACACAGTACTAAGATTCTGGTTAAAAGGATAAACTATTGTAGCTTTCTGGTAATTTTTTTACACAATGGATTTGTTGAAACCCTCAAATTTCATTATTCAAGCTCTTCACTCTAGTTGTGTCAATTATGAAAAGAGTTTTATTACCTGACAAATGGGAAATTAAGTCAAACTGGGTCTTTGCCCAGTGAGTAATAATTTCTGGAGAACTGAGAGGAGACCTATCCCAAGAAAGCACATTAATGACAGCTTCCCTAAAGTCCCTCCAATGCTTAAGTCAAGACAGAGACTTGACTCACTCCAGAGAATTCCAATCCTCTTTTGCTTCTCCATAAATGTCTTTGATTTCCATGGCAAGGTTTTGGTAGCAGGGGGATGGCTACAGGAGTGGCCAAATAAAGCCAATGCCAGCTGACTCCAAGGTGGACACACTGCTGGCCAAAGCCAAGTCCATCAGTGACAGTGGCAACACCTCTAGGATAATGTATTTAAGATGGAAAAAAAACCCTGTGCAACAGCAACCTGAAGTGTGAAAATACATGAGATTAACAACTCTGCAGACACCAAAGTGAAGGAGGGGAAGCCCAGGCTGCCGCAGGCTCCTGGCAGGACTTGTGGACCTGTGGAAAGAGGAGCCCACGCTGGAGCAGGTTTGCTAGCAGGACTTGTGACCCTGTGAGGGACCCACATGGGAGCAGTCCCTTCCTGAAGAACTGCACCCTATAGAAGGGATCCACACCAGTGCAGCTCATGAAGAACTGCAGCCCATGGAAAGGACTCATCTTGGAGAAGTTCATGGAAGACTGTCTCCTGTGGGAGGGAGCCCAAAGTGGAGCAGGGGAAGAGTGTGAGGAGTCCTCCCCCTGAGGAAGACAGTGCAGCATACATGACATGTGATGAAATGACTTCAATCCCCATTCTCCACCTCCCTGCACTGCTGGGGCGGGGAGGAGGTAGAGAAATAAGGACTGAAGTTAAGTCCAGGAAGAAAGGAGGGGTGGGGTAATCTGTTTTAAGAATCAGTTTTTATTTCTCATTATTCTACTCTGATTTTGATTGGTTATAAAATTATGCTAATTTCACCAAGTCAAATATGTTTTGCCTGTAATGGTAACTGGTGAGTGATCTCCCTGTCCTTATCTCAACCCATGAGCTTATCATTATACATTCTCTCCCCTGTCCAGCTGAGAAGGGGGAGTGAGAGACCAGGTTTTGTGGTCACCTGGAGCCCTGCTTTCCTAGAGATGGCTGAACACCTGCCTGCCAATGGAAGTGGTGAATTAATTCCTTGTTTTGCTTTGCTTGCATGTACAGCTTTTGCTTTACCTATTAAACTGTCTTTACCTCCACCCACAATTTTCTCACTTTTACTCTCCTGATTCTCTTCTCCATCCTAGCAGAGGGGAGTGAGTGAGTGAGCAGCTGCATGGTGCTTAGCTGCTGACTGATGTTAAACTACAACAGTCCTTTCTGGCACTGAACATGAGCTTGAAGGGTTTGAGATCATGACAGATTTAATCGGAATGTGCCAGATCAAATTTATAGCTGTTATTGGCATTTAGCTATTAACTGGCAGGCTCCAGTGCTTGCCACAGGGCTTGCCTGCCTTACTGCATATTAGAGGCTAGTCTTCATTACTGGCTGCTTTTTGCTTTTGCTGCTTGCTGGCCATGTGCCTGGGCTGACAAATGGTAAGGGCATTGCTGCTGTACTAGACAGGCTGGAATTCCCTTGTGAAGCTGAGTCAAGGGGACTGTGATCTGTGGATGAGTCTAAAAGGAAGCAGGTACATCTCAAAGTGTCTGTGGCCATGGTTGTGTTTGTGCTGCAGCAAGTATAGCACTGAAGGGATGGTGGCCCAAGTATAATTCCACACTGGAGAAGGTAAACCTCAAAGCATCTGTAGCTGTGGGTAAGTTCATGATGCAGCAGGTACACCCTGAAGCAAAAGTGGCCGTGCATGAGGTATATGATGGAGCACCTCAAAATGTGTGTGGCCATGGTTAAGCCTGTGACAAAGCAGGTACACCTCTGGAGGGACTGCTGACAGTGGCTGGAGCAGGTTCACTCCTGAGGAGACTGTGCCTGTAGGGCCACATTGAAGCAGGTACATTTCTGAAGGTCTTGTGGCCCACAAAGAAGGCCAAGACGGAATGGGTGTACCTCACAGCAACTGTGGCTGTGGATAAGTCTATGCCACAGCAGGTATACCCCTGGAGAGACTGTGGCTCACAGATATGGCTCCACTTGGAGCAAGTACACCCCTAAGGGACTGCAGTCTGTTGACAAATCCAAGCCAGAGCAGGGGAAGGGGAGGGAGTTTGTTGCAATGTTAAACCTGATGATCTGGTCCAAAGGGACGAGGGGTGGAGGTTGTAATGGATTTATCTTTCTTGCAATCCATTATTTGAATTGCACGTTACAGGAATTACTGTAGCAGGAACCACCAGAACCAATGGAGGAAAAGCCTTACAAGAAGCAATGCAAGCACAGCAGTGACCTGAGCTGGCTTTGGTGCCCAGTAACTCCATGCAACACACCACCTCTCCTGTCCTGAGTGACCAACACAACAGATGGAGCCCAAATTCATGGACTAGATGAACTCAATGGACATTCTGCGGACAGTTATGAACATTTTTCAAGGTTGGTCCATAGACAAAGGGAGTGAATATCTGCATATTATATCAATGGATAGGATGGGGGAAGGTGGTTAATGAGGATGTACTAGATAGTGAGAGACCCAAGCATTCCATACCATAATTAGTATGGAATGAGGAGTGCAGAATGTGCTTGTTTTGGCTAGAATAGAGTTAATTTTCTTCATAGTAAGCAGGTATGGACTGCATTTTGGATTTGTACTAGAAACAGTGATGATAATACAGGGATGTTTGAGTTATTGCTGAGCAGTGACAACCCAGTCTAGGACTTTTCTAGAAATACCTAGGAATGTGGTATTTTCTATAAGCCTGTTAAGTGTGCTACACATTTCTGTGAGCAGCTAAATTGAACCCCAAATTGAGTACCACGGAACACTGCCTTTTTAATTATTCCAGCAAAATCAAGAGAGGTTTCTGTTTAAGCTTCTAACCACCAGAACTTCACCATCCTCTGTAAACCTGGTATTATGTACTTTCACTAACAACCTGGAACTACAATACCATTAAAGTGGAATTCTGCTGATAGGAAATAAAGAACTGAATCAATTTTAAAAGGTTTGCTAGTATCTAAAGATGTACATTATAAATACATATGTATGCAGAGGACTTAAAACACAGTAACAACACAGCCTAATTATAAACTCTGGCAAACATATGGAGAAACAAACCTCCAAAGGCTGTGCATGATAATGATCTGTAGGATCCTTCAGTTCTGCAGCCTCTTTCATTAAACGTTTGACAGCTGAAAAAGAAAATAAAGAAAAAATTAATTTCCATTGCATACAAAATTACATAAACATTTATTGATGAACTCCTTTCAGTTGACTAATCTTTTTCAGTACATCCCAGCTTCTTCACTAGAGTTCATAATCCAAGATACAATACAAATTAATCACATTCAATAAATCTTAAAAGTGACACCAGCACAAAATTATGAAAATAGCTAGAAAGAGAAACACTGCCCAAACTCCCTTAACAGTATAAAGACACAGTGAAAGTGAACCACAGTTCCTTGGTTCACAAAGCCTGGCATCACCAGCTGACTGCAGGCTGTGTAACATGCTTAGACTCCAGGGCTTTACTCACTTTCATAATGCTGTGAGGGAAAGCTATTCTAACCTTCCAGCAGAGGAATTTTTATTTCAATCTACTGTGAAAAAAAGTTCTTTTCCTCCTTCAGATTTCCTGGCAGCTATAAACAACAGCTAAAAGGCTGAGAATTTCACTTCTTACAACCCAAAAAGCAAACAGACTATGCATAAATTTGCTGCTGCCAGTTGTCCCAATTCTGCTGCTTCCAGGGGGAGGTGTCAACCCTGTAGAGCCCATGAGGTCATGTTACAGGCAGCAGTGTCTGGGCTCCACTGAAAAACAGTTTGTCTCATTCATCTGCATAAAGGTTTGCAGTTCATTAACTAGGAATAACAAGAAAACTAGTCTGGACCAGAAAAGGCTTCAAACCCAGCACTGCTTCACAGTCAACATGCCTGGATACTTGCATTCATAAGAAGAGTGGTATGCACCAGGATAACACCCCTCAAAGCACAAAGGTAACCATAAGAAAACTGAGAGTGTATATAATAAAGCCTAATGAAGACAGACTAGTTGTAGACAAAGCAGACAACTCTCTTACTGAGATTTCCCAAACAAGGGACCAAGGGAAAAGAAATCCAAGCCCCCTATATCACATGCAGTTACCCATGTTAACTGAGAGAAAGCAAAAAAATAAAATACGAGCAAAATATGATTAGAGCAAAAAAATAAAATATGAGACAGTTCTACAAAGGTCTACTGGCACTTTGGATTTGTCCCAAAAGTAACAGCCTTTTCACTCCTTTAGCTCCAAGACTGTCCCCTTGGTGCCAAGTGCCAGGAGCTGGCAGGCAGAAACAGAGAAACCAAGGGGTTAGCACTGAGAAGTAATAAACACAGCTGCTGTGGGGGGAACAAAAAGCAGGTAGGCTTCTGTTTAGTAGAATTTAAAATGACAGCAGTTTAAAGCAGGGTGTTTTTATTATTTTTTTTAACATATTTTTACATTTAATTAACAGTGACACAGTATGTATTTTTCATTGCATTATTTTATTATCAAGAAGCCAGAGTATAGGTATTTTAAGAAGCCAGCATAAAATCTGCTGAAAGAATGAAATATTAATCCAGTCTTGGAGCATGAAATGCAGCAAAATATGTAATTTAGCTTTTGCATACCACAGAGCCAATTTGCTTTTAAGAAGCTTTCAATATTACACAACCTAGGATATCTTAAGGAGCACATATATATATGAATAAAGGCTGAGAAAAAGCAGCACGTACATATGAAGACAGGCTGGGAGAGGTGGGGCTGTTCAGCCTGGAGAAGAGAAGGCTCCAGGGCGACCTTACTGTCGCCTTTTACTACTTCCAAGGGACTTAGAAGAAAGAGAGAGACTTTTTGTCACACCCTGTAGCAACAGGACAAGGGGCAACAGTTTTAAACTGAAAGAGGGAAAGGTTGAGACTGCACCTAAGAAATTAGTTATGATGAGGGTGATGAGACACTGGAACAGGCTGCCCAGGGAAGCTGTGGATGCCCTCTCCCTGGAGGTGTTCAGTGCCAGTCTGGATGGGGCTCTGAGCAACCTGGTCCAGTGGAAAATGTCCCTGCCCCTGATAAGAGGGTTGGAACTAGATGATCTTTAAGGTCCCTTCCAACCCAAACCATTCTATGGTTCTACTTCCACATTTCTGAAAAATACCAACTGACAGGTTGCAAAGAACAGCTTGGACTGACACAGGTTCATTCTGAGAACCTGTGATCCAGTGAAGAAAGCATTAAATTGTTTCTTCTTTCAGCACATCTGCAGTATCACAAACACAATCCCTCCTTTGGCTACTGAAAACAACAGAAGAAATAAACATAATTCATTAAGTCTGCCTGCAACAAGTACATTACGTTCTTATCCAAACATTATTAAAAAGAGTTTTGATGAAAAATATGGTATTTCAACCCACTTAAAATCACACTGAGTCATCTGAGTAAATGTTTGGCAATGGCAATTCTGAAAAATGGGAATGGTTTGGGCCCATTAAAAATACAGAACTGAAAACTGTCAAGACAGTAAAAAAGTATCACTAGTTCAGCCAAAAAAAAAATTCAAATAAAGACATTAGTTTTGTTAAAGACAGTATTCAGAGACAAAATAATAGAGGTATTTTTTAATGTGGAATGACTGTCAGCATGAAAAATAACCATGCTTCTACAGGTACACTTGGCAACAATTTATCATAATGTTCATTGAAATTAAATACTAAGAAAATTGTGTGGGCTAATTCTAGTGAGCAAAGGAGAATTCATGTCCCAGCAGGAGGTGTGGGACTTCCCTGCTGCTCTGGGGAAAAAATCAAAGAGTAGGTGTTATGGGCCAGAGACACTGCCTGACAATCTTCCTCTTGTGTTACAGCAAATGCACCAGATTTCTCTGAAAACAAAAACATGGATGTTAAAAATCTGAAAATCAAATTTAAAGTCACCAGCTTGATCTAGGATTGAACAGGAGTGGGGTAACACAATTAATGAGCAAAATTTGAGTAATGTATGTGTGCAATTTGTAGACCTATTTCTGTCAAAAATTGTGTCCTGGTCAAATCCTCTTCTTCCTATTCATGTTTACCTTAAGTTATCCTGAAATTTCTGTTTAACACAACTGCTTCTCTTAGATGTATCTTGAAGTCACATTCAAGTACTCCTGCTATCAAACTTGGCCAACTAAACTAATCTGCACCTCCATCCCAGGAAACCCTCCTGTATGCAGAAAATGCAAGTGAACAGCCTTCATAAATGTCAATATTACTGCTTAAAGGAATGGGACTTGAACATCAGAGGTGTTCTCTTAGCAAAATATTATGCTTTATTTTAAATAAATCTGTTATGATGAAAACAAAAATAGTTTTAAATTAAAGCAACTATATTTAGCCTTACTGAGCTTTATTTTGTTAGTACTCTTCTGTATTTAATAAAGAAGGATTTTATTTCATTTTTACATTATCAATGAACAGCACATGTGGCAATAAAGTTTACATTAATGTAAACGTAACACACAACATTACAACAGAATTTATTTCAGCATAACAGAGTTTCATACCTTTTGCTGACTGGAACTTCAGAAAATCTGATCCAAGTTCCAGTTCTCTCCTACATTCAAAAACCAAAAACCTGGACACCATTACAAGCTTCCTGAAGATCTGCCACAACTTGTCTACAAAAGGCAAGACGACTCTGACACAACAGCTCCACAGGAGAAACAGACCCAGGCGAGGGGAAGGGCAGAGGTGACTTGGGCGACACTGCTGTCAAACCCAAGTCAGCAGACACGGGGAGGGCAAGGTCCCAGTCGGGCAAGGCTCAGCCCCTAGTACTTTATCACAAGACAGAATTCTGTGCACACAGAGGTGACCTGCAGGTTCACCAGTGAAACTAATTCACATTTAAGTTACATGCGTTTTGCTATTCTTCCTCAAAAGAATAGCAACCATTTCCTTCTACCAATTTTCAGTTCTTCTGTTTGAAAATGAAAGTATATAATAAACAAATAAATTAAGGAATTTAAAACAGCTGCCATAAAGCTACAGAGCTCCTAATCTTTCAAGTAGACTTACCTGATCTGGGAAAAAGGAATTAAACAACCTGACAGCCTTTGCTGCTCCAACAAATGCTTTCCTTTTGTTTTTAGTGGCTGCTGCTATGATTTTTTTTTCTTCATTTTAAATAAGACTTAGGGGTCTATTCAGGAGAAACACAGAAATAGTAATTTTTTCCCATGTCTCTGCTGAGAAAGACAGCTTAAGTAAGGATGCAATTTACTTACCAAATTCAGGCGTTCCAATGAATTAGTAAAACTCTTAAAGTTTTTCTGGGATAAAGGGTTTTATAACTACTCAGCCATTTTAAGCTATTAGTAAAATACAAATTATCTTTCTCATATGTTTGTCTATTAATTATGCTACTATCTACAACTAGGAAAAATATTAGAAAAACAAAATACTGAAACTGCACAACTAATTTAAGACAAGTATCAAGGCCCTTCAATTAGATGATGCATATGTCAAAGATGACGTTTGACGTCTTTTTTAATCCAGCTGGCTTTGGTTTTTTCTCCCCTGCTCAATACCCAACAAGTGAGCCAAGAATGCCTGACCCATGGCCAGAGTACTCACTAGAGCCATCAGTCCTCACAGCAACCCAAAGCAGTTTGGAACCCATTACCCCCAACGTTACATTCAAAGGAAAATCCTGTTTACTGAAAGTAAGTTTAAATTTCACGTAAGGGGAAAAGCAACAGCAAATTGCAGTCAGCCACCAGTTCAGCTGCCCAAAGACAGGATCATGCAATTAAAAAAAAATATCAGGATTAAATTTATGTGTAAAGTACACAGGATTTCTTGTGGTATGGCAACACCTGATGATCTTTGACATTTTAAGTAAAAAAAATCACTTCAAGTGATGTGGTCACCAAAGCATCCAAGAAACCATGTTGAAAGCAAAGAGCCAGAGCAGACTGGAGAGCTACGGAAGGCTCTTACTACAGCTCATGTACATGGAGAATGGTATTTTTTTTAAGTAGAGTTGTATTCTCTAGAGAATGTTTTATTAAATCTAAGACTTGTAGAAACTCTAGCAGGTTCACAGTGACCTGCACAATGTCATTAGGTAACCAGTAGTTCAACTGCTCCATTATGGGTGTGATTTTACTGGACAGCTTA